ATAGAAGGATCAAAAAGCTATGATGGTTTAAATATTGGGTTGTTGACCGAGAAAAATAAAGGATAGAAGGATCAAAAAGCTATGATGGTTTAAATATTGGGTTGTTGACCGAGAAAAATAAAGGATAGTAAGGATCAAAAAACTATGATGGGATGGTTGCCGAAGTTAATAGATCATTTTCATTGTTATAGACTCTTAATTATGTTTAGAGAGGCTAAAAGTCAGACTAGGTTAAATATTAGTAGATCCGGGAGAGTAATTATAGTGTAATGTCGTATTATATTTGCTTGTTAACAAATGAGACGATCACTAAGTGTAAACAATTACCAAGTTTATAAAAATCCCTAAATCCGCTTACCATTTTATGTGATACAACTCGACGAAACAGAACAAGTAACGTCCAAAACTGTATTAATAATTCAAAAGCTAAAGCTACCTAATATACGTATTTTTGTAGTGTTGTAATGTGTCAGTTTAAGTTATTTTTTATAAGAAATAACCGTGTGTTCTTTGTTGATATTTTTCTCCAGTAGTAAGCGTAATCCCTATGGAAAAGATGACAGATCGTAAGCTTTCCATGGCATCAGTGACTACCGATCCTATTGAACAGGATTCAAGGTACATTTCCATCGATATGAATAATTGTTCTGTTGATTATTAATAAGAAGATATGAGTGTATAATAATATGTTATCCACATAATCAGCGTCGGTGAGGCTTTTCGCTCACTACCAGGGCTCTTTAAGTCGGCTTGGATACGACAGACATAGGAATAGTTGAGACGTTATCTATATACATAATGCGCTTGCGTTTGTCTGTCCGGAACTTTTCTCGATCAAACATTAAAAATCTCATGTCGTTAGAAAGGTCTTTGTCCGAGGAGTTTCAATTGTATATTGGCTTTTCAATTCACCTTACCTGTTTTTTTTTTTTTTTTTTGCTTAGTCAAAGTTTTTAATGCAACCACTATGCTACACGATGACACAATGTCGTTGTTATCACGTGATGACTGACTTCGATTTCAGATCTAATGTATTCTTTATTTGCAAAGAATTTGACACAAACGACACTTAACTCGAGTGTAATTTTCTAGAAAAACATTACGCTAAACACAATTGCTATGGCCTGTCTCGACTCATTTAGATCTAAAATACGCATGTGTAGTACCTCCAAAACGATTTGCTTATCACTTTGTAAACACGCATCCAGATGTCTCTACATATTCGACTAAGTTTACATTCATTATAGCTATACATTTACTTTACTTTGTACGCCCCCCCCCCCAGTGGTACAACGGCATGTCTGCGGACTTACAACGCTAGGAACCGGGTTTCGATACCCGTGGTGGGCAGAGCACAGATAACCCATTGTGTAGCTTTGTGCATAACTTAAAAAACAAACAAACTTTACGTTGCAATACTTTAGCTTCGGTTCTTTTCATAGAGTGCCCGGCATGGCCAGACGGCTAGGGTGCTCGACTCGCAATCTACGGGTCGCGGGTTCGAATCCACGCTCCACC